AGGCATGTCCACTGCACGTTTTACTGTCCAAACACAATATTACGCTACACAGACATTTGTCTAATGATGAAATATAGACAGATGTATATATCTGGGAAAAGCCAAATAAAGGAAGAATAAAAACAACAATCATGATAACTTTGAGCTCTTGTGTACAAGAGTTATTTAAATATAGTTTCATGTGACGACATTACATCAGTTTGAATGGGATGTTAGACAGGAATCTAGAGAGGAATCCTTTTCAAGCGAGGACATAAATAAATGATGGTCTATTCAGATAAAATGATTTTAAATTAATAAGATGGAGCTTTAAAAAGGAGAACTGGAAGAAAATGTCCAAAAAATAGTTTTCTTGGTAGTAAGAAAACAGAAAACTAAACAAATCAGGTAACAGAATGTGATCAGGAATGTAGAATGTATCAGAAAAAAATAGGACAACATAAAACAATAATTCTTGGTAGAATTATGAATTTGCAGAGCTGTTAAAGAGTATCACAGGGCATTTAAACATTTAGGGGAAATGTAACCAAAGAAACCTGATTTAATTTCAAGAAGAAAAAAAAGAAACTAAGTTTCCATGCTAGTTATATGCTAATATATAATGAGACTAAAACGGATGTTAGTGTGGACTTTAACACATGAGTTCAGTTTAGGTTTCATTAGACTGATTATATATACACCTATACCAACTTCATTCTCCATTTAAACATTTTATATAAAATAAAGCAATAAAGCTGTTGATACTGTTTACAAAATCAGAATGATTGTATGCCTGTTTAACGGTAGAAGTTGCTTCTTAATGAGTGGGTGGGTGGCCCTGAAAAGGGCCTTTGGTTGGTGGCTGGAAGCGGAGCAGTTTAACCTCCGAAGCCGTACAGGGTGCGGCCCTGCCTCTTCAGAGCGTACACCACATCCATGGCGGTGACGGTCTTCCTCTTGGCGTGCTCGGTGTAGGTGACGGCATCGCAGATAACGTTCTCCAAGAAGACCTTCAACACACCGCGGGTCTCCTCGTAGATCAGACCGGAGATGCGCTTGACTCCTCCACGGTGAGCCAGGCGGCGGATAGCAGGCTTGGTGATTCCCTGGATGTTATCACGGAGGACTTTACGGTGACGCTTAGCGCCTCCTTTGCCGAGTCCTTTACCTCCCTTTCCTCTGCCGCTCATTGTGTCTTTCTCTGTGGATCACAAAGTCAGAAATGCTCAGCAGCTGCTGAGTATAAGGTATTATGTGTAAGCTGCAGACGTAGGAGGAGACATGCTGAGCACCGCCTCCAACATGTGTCTGACACACTGGGGACTGTTCCTCTCTTAAGAAAAAAGTCTGAGATTTTAACCCTGTCTCCTGGTTTTAGGCTGGGCTACTTTGTGTCTTGGTTCCTAACCAAGTCAGAGGTGTCAGTAAAGGGTGTGGCTAATGACTATTTCCCCGATCTTTCCAAGGTTCCTGAGGAGCATCGCAATTTCCGAGAGGTTTTTAAGAAGAGCAAGGCCACAGCTCTACCTCCTCACAGCCCTTATGCTTCTGGGATTTATTTGTTGCCAGGCACCATACCCCCTAGGGGTAGGCTATATTCATTATCCACCCCTGAGCCTCTCGCTAACGACAAATACATTTCTGAGTCACTAAGAGCAGGCGTTATTCGTCCTTCATCTCCGGCTGGTGCAGGCTACTTTTTTTTTTGGAAAGAAGGATGGTTCCCTCAGGCCATGTATAGATTACAGGATGCTTAATGACATTATTATAAAGAATCGCTATCCCATCACTCTGATCAAATCAGCTTTTAATTAGATTCAGGGGGCCAAAATCTTTCCCAAACAGGACCTCTGTAACTCTTATCACCTGGTTCACATCCGTGAGAGTGACAATTTGAAGACTGCCTTCAACACTACCACCAGTCATTATAAATATCTGGTCATGGCTTTTGGGCTCACCAACGCTCCCATGGTATTTCAAAATCTGGTCAATGACGTGCTCCGGGACCTAGTGGGACATTATCTTTTTTTCTATCTTGATGACATTATTATCTATTCATGGGATTTGGAATCCCATAGGTTACACGTCTGATCTCTTCTTCTACGTCTGCTTCAGAGCCAACTGTTTGTCAAAGCAGAGAAATGTGAGTTCCACGTTTGCACAATGTGTTTTCTGGGTTTTGTGGTCTCCAATGATCAGAGCTCCACGGACCCTATGACGATAAGCACAGTTAGCGACTGGCCGGTTCACGGGGATAAGAAGCAACTACAGAGGTTCCTGCGGTTTGCCAACTTTTACCTTAGATTTATCAGGAACTACAGTCCGGTGGCTGCACCCCTTCATGGTCTCACCTCCTCCAAGGTTAAGTTCTGTTAGTCTGAAAAGGCTGATCATGCTTTCCAAAGGCTAAATTCTTCGTTCACCTCTGTGCCTGTTCTCCAGATCCTGAGAGCGAATTCATTGTGGATAGGGATGCTTCTAGTTCAGTGGTTGGGGCGGTTCTCAGGCGGGAGGCTAAAGATGGGAAGATTCATCCCTGTGCCTTTTTCTCCAAGAATCTTTCAGCTGCTGGACGGAACTTTGATGTCAGGGACAGTAGAGTTGCTGGCAGTTAAGCTAGCTCTAGAGGAATGGAGATAATGGTTGGAGGGCTTCAAGATTCCTTTTCCGGTTTGGACAGACCACAAAAGCTACAAGTATCTTAAGTATGCTAAGAGATTCAGTCCTAGACAGGTGAGGTGGGCACTTTTCTTGGCCACTTTAATTTTCCTCTGTCTTACAGGCCCGGGACTAAAAATCTTAAACCCGATGCTCTGTCCAAGGTGTTTGAGGTGGATGAGGAGAGTCCCGTTGGTGCTGAGCAACCTGTGGTGCCAGAGTCTGTGAGATGTTCAATTACTGAACATCTGATTATTGATCAGGAAGACAGGCAGGCTCTCCTTAACCAATCCTCTCCTAGTGACTGCCCCAGTGATCACTCTTTTGTCCCCTTCAAACCAAGTTGAACCAGCTGGTTGTGTTTTGTGAACCCGCCTGTGGAAGCAGATGAGAAATCTACCGAGTTCTGGTATAACCAATGAGCAGCCGATCTCAATTGCTGTGATGTCGAGGAGCCACATAAGCTGCTCAACCGTGCCACACTATTCTGCGGCTGCTCCAGGAACCCAACCTGCTTTTTCACCTAGTCCTGCAGCACAAGGAAACGAAAGGGTCTATATTGCTATGAGCCAGGCAGTTTGAGGCAGGTCAGAAGGCTTACAGAAAAAACGCTGTAGGAAAGAGCCCAGAGGTAGAAATCCAGTAGGGCGGTATCCCGTTGAGGTTTTTATTGAACACAGGGAATCATGCTAGGACTTTGACAGAAAGTTTCTTCAGAAACCACCTTCATGGAGAGGACGGAGACTTGCACCACACTGCTAAGTGGTTCAGTAATGAGGTCAATATTTTGCTTGAACCAGGGACCACTCCACTTTGGATTGAATTGATTATTGCTCCTTAGGCTATAGTGATATTGTCCAAAAATAAATATTAAAATAATAATATTTACTGTTAGAGAAATACATTTTTCACCACAACATGTCTGTCTGTCCCTGAAGTCCAGGCTTGTCATCCTTAGTCAATGTGTTGAGGGGGACTTCTTTAAGGTAAAGTTCCAATGTGACACTAAAACCCCTCCACCATGATAAGGTGGCAGCCCAGGGAAAGGAACAAAATCATAAAAAATTTGAAATTAAGAGCTGATAGATGAATTAAATCTGCAGATTTATTTTCTGATACAGAAATAGAATTATTTGTAAAATTATCTCATTCCCGTTTCAATTTGTTTTTCAATATTTCTGTTTTAGAACCATTGACATTTGTTAAAGATATTGACTCAGAACCCATTGATATAAAAAAGCATGTTTACTTCTCTCTCTATAGACTTGTTAGAAGTCTAGAAGAATAGTGTGTAGCATGTTTGTACTGCAAGATTTTATTAGAAGAAAAAGAAGAGATATTTTTATGCGAGGTAAGTGCTCACCTAAATCTGACTTTTCCCTTCTTAAATACCAAGATAAATAAATGTATCATATAAATTTAGGGTGATTTTCTTTTTCTTATTCCAATATTATCTGTCTCTTACAGAGGCATGTTTCTATTGTGTCTCTCGCTGGCACTTAAGACTTAGTGGAATGTCTAAAGAGCAATTTGCTGATTGTGAACTCTGTGTAGTATTTACTGTGGAGTACATTCAGACTAGCTTTGTTGTCTCTTTTTTTAAAACTATGAATAACATGTAAATTTAAACTAAGAACTAAAATATTGTCAGGATATGGTAAAAAAGTGACAGAAATTCACTTTGCTCTTAGAGAAATATTTAATTTGTTGAATCAAAACAACAGAGTCTCATGATCTTGGCGTTGATGGTTCGGTTTTTTCCTTTGCTCATTGCTCCCCTCTCTAATTGGTTCTGCGGCTGATTAACGGCGATCATTTCCACCTGGTTCCTCTTTTATTTATGTTGTGTGCTTTCCTCCCATCAATGCCAGGTTATTCGAGAGTTTTGGCGAGACTAATTCTAGCATTCTTTAGTCTGTTCTGTTTTCCTGATTGTGACCCGTTTCTGCCCTGTGGATTCCGAGTTTTGCCTTGCCCCTGCGAGATCCTGAAGTGTTTAAGGGGGATCCTGCAGAGATTTAAGGGGGAAATGCAGAGATTTCCTGACTAGGTGCGAGATTCATTTTGAGTTACAGCCCTCCGCTTTTCCTTCTGATCATGCTAAGGTGGCCTATGTAATCTCTCTGTTAGCAGGCAAAGCTAAATTATGGGCAACGTCAAAGTGTGGCTGAACAATCCTGATCTCTGTAGCTCTTACAATGATTTTTCTGTGGAACTAATCCGAATTTTTTGCCCAGTTATTCCTAGTAGGAAAGCCTCCTGGGGATTTTGACACTCAGGCAAGGAGATCGGTCCGTGTTGGAATATAATACTGACTTCCACCTGCTGTCTGCGGACTGTTCCTGGAATGAGGATGCCCTCATGGATTTTTTTTTCTTTGGCCTTCGTGAAAGTATCAAGGATGAGCCGACCCGCGACTACCCCCGGACTCTGAAGCAACTGGAACCAGATTGACCTTCGCCTCACAGAGGGTGGCAGGGAAAGGAGGGCACTGACGACGGCCTTTCCTCAACCTGCTCTTCACTCCTCCCCCTATGCACCTACGTCGGCCCCTGGTCCGGCTCGGTTGCCGGAGCCCGAACCGATGCAGCTGTGACGCACATGCCTTTCCAAGGAGGAGAGGGCTTGACGCATCAGCTTTCATCTCTGTCTCTACTGTGGCAGTTATGGACATTTTCACAGGCCTTGTCCTTCAAAGGGTAAAACTAAGCTGTGACGCACCAAACTCTCTGCCTCCCCAGCTCTCCTGTTACCTAAGACTGGTGTGGTTACTTCCAGAACCCCAGATCCTCCAGTAACCTCGGCCCAGCGCCCCCGGACCCTGATCCGGATTATTTTTCTCCCCCTTCTTCTGAGTGTGGTTTGGTGTATGTTTTATTTTTTTTTATGGGGATAGGGGAGACCTTTTTCCCTTCTGTTCACCTCCACCCACCAAATTCAGAGAGGGGGGGGCTGCCTTCACAGTCAGCCATCTCCTCAGGTCTAGGAGGACGGGCAAGGGGCTCCCGTAGACTGGGAGGCTTATGGACCTAAGGAGAGGTCCTGGATTCCGGCCCAGTTGATCTGGGAGGAGGACTTCCACGATGTTCATCCTGATCAGCCCGTTTGGGTGTCTAGAATCCGCCCTTGAAGGGGGGGTTCTGTCATGATGTTGGCGCTGATGGTTTGTTTTTTTCCTTTGCTTGTTGCTCCCCTGTCTAATTGGTCCTGCGGCTAATTAACAGCAATCATTTCCACCTGGTTCCTCTGCTTTTTATGTTGTGTGCTTTCCTCCCAATAGCGCCAGGTTATTTGAGAGTTTTGGTGAGACTATCTCTAGCATTCTTTAATCTGTTCTGTTTTCCTGATTGTGACCTGTTTCTGCCCTGTGGATCTCGAGTTTTGCCTTGCCCCTGTCTGCTCTGTTTGTCAGTTCTGTTTTGGATTTATTCCTGGATTCTACTGGCTTCTTAACTTGGAGATGTCTTCTGTCTCCGGCTTTGGATATCCCCTTAGGACTCGGTTGCTGATCGGCGTTGGCTGGCGCCTGCTCCGCTCGCTCTCTAGGGACTCTGGGGGCGACGCCCGCCGCAACTGCTGCCTAACTTCCCATCTGGATACATCTGTGTTCTCCCTGAAGTGACTGAACTTTGAATCAGGTCAGTGACTTTGCTACAAGTTGTGATCAGCTCCGCATCAAGTCACTGACCTGTATTCTCCTATCTCTGCAGAGATCCAGCCCGCAGCTGACGAGCAGCCCCGTAAACCTGTTTGTTTTAATAAACGCTTTGAACTTTCCCACTGCCTGTCTCGCCTCGAATTCTGGGTCCAACATTCTGAGATAATTACACAGAGGTTCCATAATATGGCTCCATGTAAGAACTATCATTACCTGGGGAAGAAGGGGTTAAATGTAACATTAGCAGACTGGCCTGTCAGTCTTGGTTGTGGTTGTTTTAAGAAAAGGGACCTGCCTATGTTGCCTACAGACTTTGCAAAGCTATTCAAAGTTCCATATACATAGTTTTGCATGTACAAGATTGTACAAGACTGGGTACAACATCAGCACTTTCTACCGCAGTCCTCAGCGCAGCATCATGATGGAGAAGATCTTGTTTGGACTCTTGTTTTTTCTAGGTAAGTGATATCATGTTTATGCTGGTATTGAAACCTTTGTAGCAAAGCGTCAAAGAATGATGAAAAATAAGATTTTTAAATCTATCTTCCAGACTGGGTGGTCCTTTCCACCTGCCTCCATTATCAGTACTATTTTGTTGATCAATCATTGAACTGGACTGAAGCTCAGACCTACTGCAGAAAGAAGCACACAGACCTGGCCACTATCCTAAACCCTGAGGAACAAAACCAACTTAATAACACTCTTACATCTGCTGGACACAGCTCAGATGTCTGGATTGGTATGTTCAGTGAAATCAACTGGAAATGGTCTGATGGTTACACTGGGAGTGGAGCTGATTACAGACACTGGACATCAAATCAGCCATATATTACTAACCCTGATGAGTATTGCGTAGGATTAAATCACAACAGGGGATGGGCTGATTATATCTGCACAGGGAAGCACCACTTTATGTGCTACAAAGGTAACAATATGAATGCAGACACACAATTATTTTAAGCATTATTATAAAACATAAAGTTTTTACTGCACTTCTTCCTACATTGTTGTCATCAACAGGTTCAAACTTAGATCCTGACTTTGTTTATGTGAATACAGCAATGACCTGGTCTGATGCTCAGATGTACTGCAGAGAGAACTTTCTGGACCTGGCCACCATAAAAAATGACGTAGAGAACCAGCAGGTCCAGAGCCTGACAAATGAATTAACATGGATTGGTCTATATAGAGAGCCAAATCTTCTTTGGTCTGATGGGAGCAGCGTCCTCTTTAGAAATATTGATTCCATCAATATGATGATTGGCTCAAAGACAATCATATGTGGAGCTGCAGCTACTGGGAGATCAGGAAGATGGAAGGGTTTGCCCTGTGAAACAAGATTGCCATTTGTCTGTTATGGTCTTCCTGGTGAGTGTTTTTTTTTAATCAAAAGGAGAAAATAAGAAGCTGCATTACATGGGAATCAACCGTGTCTTATTAGGTGTACTTTCTATACTGATATCTGGAACTATGTTTGAATGCTTTGCTGATCTCTAGTTTCTTATTTCACTCTTCGTTCATCGTATTCCAGCTTTTACTGGCAAAAAAAAGTTTCCATCTGGAGGAAGAATATATGTACTTCTCCAATATAAGTTACCCAGGTTAAGACTGTAATGTTTTCACAATGTATTACCTCATGGTTTATCTCTGTGTTGCTGAACTCAACCCAAAGAATCTGGAAAGGCTCTTCATGCAGGCCCACCACTTGCAGACAGGAATGTTAAGATCAGCTGCCATTTAATCTGGGTGGCACTGGAAGGCAGGAGTCTTGGTCTGCTAATTTCTGGAAGCCAAACCTGCCTTTGATGTAAATAAATTTAACAAATTAAAGCGACAAAAGAAGAAAACAACTCAAATTCATTCAACATTTATAAATTATTTTGATTGAGATAGAGCACCTCTTTATTTGCAAGAGGCCTCAGGAACTGAGATACCTTCTTGTTAAGACATTTTTATCATGGGTTTTTCAGAATAGATTGGAACAGCCCTAAATAGAGTTATTAATTTTAAACTTACACTATAAAGTGTTAAATTATGCACTACTTATTCCTTTTAACATATAAGAACATGTCTCTAAAAAGAACACTCAAGCTATTCATGATTTCCTTTATTTTAATTCAGTAATGAAAAAACAGGTGGTGAGGCTCAGGTTTCATGCAGATGGCTCTGTGGATTTGAATGACCCTGTTTTAAGAGGAAAGATCCTGAAAAAGGCAAGTCTGAAGTCAATACTGTGCACCTGATCTCAAATTTATATAGAGATAATAAAGAGTCTACATTTTTTATGCCTTCCAATTTTATCTTGCAGCTCCAGAAAAAACTGCAGGAGAACGGAGTGAGTGGAGTTACCCTGAAGTGGAGATAACAGCCTGATGGGAAAGTCTTCAAATCAGAAGAAAAAGGAGAAGAAAGAATTTCAAACCAAGAAATATGAAACCTAAACTACTTTTTATTATTCAGTAATATAGTGATTGCTAATAACCTGGTTGCTACGATTCTAATCCATTATTGTAATGATGTGAATGCTTTCTAAACGATGTGAACACAATATGTTCTTCATCAGTAAATGTAATGTTTTTTAATTAAATGGTGGTGGTTTTAAGTGTAATATGTATAATAGTATATATAGTATACATTTTTGATCCCATTTAATTTTAATTTAGAGGTGTTTGTGTTTTGCTTTTCAGTTATTTGTTTTTTTATTATAGTATTTTAATTAGTAATGGGCATATATCATTTTTATTCTAGATTAATCTCACTGTAATCTTGGAATTAATCAAGATTAATCTAGATTAAAATGTCTCATATGAATTCTGCTAAAGGGCTTCAGGAACTAGAATCAGAATTAATTTATTAATCCCTTAAGAGAAAGTCTCCTGCGGTTTACAGAAGAGAGAAAAATAAGATTGAAAGTACAATTAAGATATAAAAATAGAATAAGGTAAGGAGGATTAGTGTGTGCTACCTAAATAATAATTAAAAGTAATTCTGGTGGGGCATTAGACCAGGGGCTCATTAAGAAACCTTTTCTATTATAACTGGCGATGAAAATAAATAATATTCAATAAGATGTGTTTGTGTTTAATAAGTGTTTATTTAGATAAACCTGAATTCTGAAGTGTAGGCCTACATGGTAGGTCATGATGAAGTGTTTACAGTCTGTAGCTTTGTGTCAGTCAGTCCAAGCTCTATTTCTTCTCTTTCCATAAGTCACTCATTGTAAAGTCCTGTGAGCCTGGAGTAGCCGCAAGGCCTGCTGTCTAATGTCAAAATGGTGAAAATAATCACTATTTTATACTAGTTTTGTTTTAAAGAGGGTTGTTTATGTTGGTAGTCTGTTCATGCTAAGCTAACATAATGTTCTGGCGGTTGTAGTAGTAAGCTGGTGAAGATTCTCATTCATCCAGGTCATAGTCATTCCAAAAAAGTAAAAAAATTAATCCACTGGACTTTGTTTCCAAGTTTGAAGACGTTTCATTTCCAATTGTTGTGCCATATGCCATGAACCTGCTTTTTGGACATTGGGAACCAGTGTCCATATTTCATCTTGACATGATGACCAGAGAAGGAAACGCAGCTTTGGTGAATGAAAAGCTATTAGATTTCTCCAACCCCCCCTTTTAAGCCAGGCCTCCACAGGACCTCCCACAGAGGTGTGACTTGCCAGCCCCCTCTCTGTGAGAACAGAACAAAACCACAGAGGACCCAGGATCTCTTTTTGCCTCCTCTCCCTTGCCCATGAAGCTGGGGTCTGCTGGGGTCTCCTTCCACCACAGTGGAGATCCAAGGCCCAGGGGAAATCCAGATCTCCAGAATCCTCAAAGATAAGTCATCATGGACCTTTCAGAACCAAACTGCTGCAAAACAGACGTTTTGCAACACATTTCTCTTGAGGTGGTAGTGAGTGTTATATTCTGCCTTTAATAAACTCAAACAGACTACAGAATATACCTTTCTAGCCCCACAGGGCTGTCGATTTATTAACACGGAACCGGAGTCACAAACATGAGTGTCCTCCCTGGCTAAGTCCCAGGTGTAACATACAAAAGGGTCAGTGCGGAAAACAGTTCCCATTGATACAGTAACAGGCTACTCCTTCCTCCTTACTCCATGTATAGTACATGACGCAGGATGCACGGTTAGGCTAAGACTTGGCCTGATCCAAAAAATGCTCGCATGACTGGAGAATCGGCTTAAAAAGGGTAAAAAAACTCTTAATAGTCTTTATCAGTCTGAGCGTGTTAAAGTTCTGCTCTACAGATCATGGCCATGGGAAGTGGGTTTGCTGGGGGTGCTGCGGCACCCACTATTGGGAAGAGGGATATTTTTTTTTTTTTATGTATTAAAAATACTTTGCACAATTTATAAATTTCTTATGAATATTTTGGGAAATAATTTTGACTTTTTTAAAATTTTACTATTGCGTGTATTTGAATTTGAATTTAATTATGTTAAGGGCCTGATCAACAGAAGTTCATAGGAGTTATGTTGTCATGGCAACATCAACCCAAACTAGTGGTATCCAGTTTGCCAATTGTCCACTCATTAGAGACTTTATGTCCATGAGCCAAAGCGCCCCTCAACATTTTGACACCTGTGACCAGAGGACTCACCTGTAGCTCAAAGTATAAGGATAGTGCCACCGTGCACTTTCATATCTATTTGTGTAGTTTAATGTAACCATAGTATTTTAGAGTGTTATTTTGATCTTGGGTTGTTTGTGTAATGACTATGGAGAACTTCAATAATGTTTAAATACTATAATAATATAAGTATTTCCTTGTGGTTTGTGTAAAAGGATTTTGGAGCTAATAGAGTCAAGTGTGACACAAACACAGTGACTCAGGTTTATGCCAGCTGACCAAATCTATGTTATAGTTTTATTGTGAAGTTTACTTAATAGCACGTATATTCACCTCAGAACTGAGGATGTCTGTGTCTTACAGACTCTGGTTGCGTGCACTGAAATGTATAAGACAATAACGTAATGAATCTCAGTCTGTTTACATATTTATTTTTACTGTATTTTCAATAGGCCTATAGGCTCATAGGTGTCCAAAAAAACGAAACAAAATTCACAGCGCCCCCTGTTCAAAAGTACTTCCAGCGGCCCTCCTTGCAGGTGAAACTAACAAAGGGAAAATCTTTTTTCAGTGATTAAATAGCAAAAATATGAAATTAAAAGAAATCTATATTTTCCGACCACAGACCTCAAACATCTTCAATCGTTTCGTCCTTTTAATGTTGATGCTATTTTAATCAGTGATATTCTACCATATCTCTGAGCCCCCTTCAAGATTGTCAACTAGGTGTTCAAGCTTTCAATTTCTCTTGTGTTAATTGTCTTTTGTTTTTGCCTTTTACACTTTTACACCTGCTTTCGGTTACCACATTGATTTACATAGTAACTAATGTTCAACATTGAAATTAACTTGGAAGAATAACATTTATCCATAACGCATGTTTTGTGATTTCATGTTTCCCCTTCCTGCAGACTTAAGTACTACCTGTGCTTATACTTGTCTCTTCAGTTCATTGAGAGGTTGGCTCAAGTCATTGGCTGACGTTGGCCAAAGGACTATTTCAATAGAAACATCAGTAATGTATTTTACTTTCCTCTTAAGACTAAACACACTCAAGAGCCACTTAGCGCTCATCGAGCGCAACAGTCGCTTCAGGGTAATGATATAGAGCTCAGTGTCAGTTCTAAGTTCAACACAATGGAACCAAATAAGCTCACTGAGAGGAAATGTGGAAGACCAGACCAAAATCTTGAGAAAGGAAAGCATTCAAAGGAATTAATTACCACAGATAATGCGGAAGGAGCTGAAGTTAGAATCTATGAGTTAAAACGTCTAAAGTAAAATAAAATAATAAAGCCATGTTTACAGAAAACAGAAATTAAGAAACAAAACTTAGAGAAATTAACCTATATTAAAATAACATATTGAAAAAATAAAGAACCAAAACCAGCAAGACTTTACTCACAATCATATACGACCAAGAAATTATTTAAAAAAAGAACAGAAAGGTAAAAACCAAACTCACACAGCTGTAAACCATGACAAAAATATTTGTTTTCCTCATTTTTACCAACTCTAAACCCCCACCATATTTAAGGCACTCAAACTTGAAGAAGTGTTAACATACTTATTATTGTGCTAACATAATTGAGATATTTTTCACGCGTTCACAATAATTAATTTGCACAGCAGCAAACAGGGTATTAGTAAATCATATAATTCTAAATGATACAATTGTTTTATTCAACCTAGGAAGAAGCAAACAGGTTTCATATTTCTGAGTTTAAACTGGATTCTTCTCCTTTCTGAAGACTTTCCCATCAGGCTGCTCTCTCCACTTCAGGATAACTCCACTCACTCCGTTCTCCTGCAGTTTGTTCTGGAGCTATAGGATCAAATTGGAAGACACAAAAACAGAGACTTTTTCATTTTGAGATATTTCATTATTCATTTTGCAATAAAAACAATCCTGATTTCAAACTTGCCTCCATCAGGATGCTTCCTCTTAGAACACGGTCATTCAGATCCACATAGTCCTCCAAATGAAGTCCAAGCCTCACCACCTGTTTTGTAACTAATTTAAAAGAAGGGATTTTTCATTATAGTACATTTTTTTATACATTGAAATACATAAGTATAAAATACTTTCACAGGGATGTAAGTTATAAAATTAGTAATTGTTTTAAGGGCAGTTAAAATCCAGTGTCATATTCCCTTGATGTTCTTTTCTCAACAGGATGGGTGTTTGTAGTTCCTGTGGATGAAGAGCTACTCTTTTAAAATCAAATACAATTTTTTGCTCAAAGCCATAAAAACTGAATAACATGTACATGATATTTTCTTACCGTATTGTCCAGACTATAAGCACCTACTTTTTTCCAATCCCCATTTTTCCAGAGGGCGGAAGTTAGAGTTGGAAATCAAACAAGAAAGGGCTCATTTTCATTCAGCACAAGCAGGTTCTTGCAGTCAGCACAACAGAGAACAAATGTCTAGAATTCACACATTGTGACATTTATTTGTTGCATTAAAGCCAATCTAGAGACTATGTGCTGCTCCTGTAGAGCTGAAATGAAGAGCTGACGAAACCCTATCTTTCATTAGAAGCTCTTACATGTTTACAAAAAAAAAAAAAAAGCTCTTACTGCCGCAAGCCGGGAAGCTAATGGACATTAGCATTCTTGTTTTTTTCTACATTATGGGTGATATGTAGAGCTCCCCTTATGGGTTTGGAGGGGGGCAGTTCAGTAGATATCTACGGATTATAGCCATGTTTGGCTTATGTGTGTACGTTTTAAGTTTAGAGAAAAAAAACTTTGTTGAGAGGTGTGATCTAAATTCCAGAAATTATGGTAATAAAAAAATGGTCCTTTCCTCTTCTTTTGTTTTTACTGTTTGAATTTGTTCCCTTCAAGGGCAGGTTAGGATTCCAGGAATTAGCAGACCCAGACTGCTGCCTTCAACTGCCACCCAGATTCAATGACGGCGGATATTGAAGTTTCTCACTGCAGCGGTGAGCCCAATTGGCAGGCCTCTGTACGTAGTTTCTTTAGGTTTAGAGATAGACCACCAGCTATTGTAATGTGAAAACATTACAGTCTTAACCTAGTTAATCTATGTTAGATAAGTGTATTGATTCTAACTTTGAAAAACTCCAGTTGGAAACTTTCCATTCCTGTCAATAAAATTTGTAATAACAAGAACAAGAAGTAAAAAAATGAGAAGTAAATTATAAATCACTAGTAAGTCAAGTTTAGACAGCAACTCAGTCTGGAAAGATACATTTCTGCCAAAAAGAGAACAAAAAAATTATACTCATCAGGACATGCCTGATACTTATTAAAAGCAGCTTCTTATATTCACTCTTTAATTTTAAAACACACTCACCAGGAGGACCGTTGCAGACAAATGGTAATCTTGTTTCACAGGACAACATTTTCCATTTTCCTGATCTCCCAGTAGATGTAGCACCACATATGACTCTCATTGAGCCAATAAAAATACCACTGGTATCCCAGCTGGTAAAGAGGACACTGCTCCCATTAGACCATTGAAGATTTGGCTCTCTATATAGACCAATCCATGGATAATGACCATAAGGTATCAGGCTCTGGACTTGCTGGTACTCTGTGTCATTTCTTATACTAGCCATGTCAACAAAATTTTCTCTGCAGTATGTCTGTGCATTGGACCAGGGCATTGTTGTACTCACATAAACAAATTCAGGATCCAAGTGTGAGCCTGTTGGTAACGAAAATGTAGGATAATGTTAAGCAGAGATTCTATGTTTTATAATAATGATTTAAAGAATGGTGAGTCATAATTCCTATTTCTACCTTTGTAACATAAAAAGTGGCGATGATCTGTGCAGGTAGCATCAAACCATCCCCCATGGTAATGTGATCCTACACATACGTCATTAACATAATACCATGATGGTTGACTCAAATGCCAGTTTCTGTAGTCAGCTCCACTCCCAGTGTAACCATCAGACCATTTCCAGTCGATTTTACTGAACAGACCAATCCAGACGTCAGAGCTGTGTCCAGCAGATGTAAGCGTTGCAATTAGTTGGTTCTGTTGCTCAGAGTTTAGGATGGTGGCCAGGTCTGTGTGCCTCTGCCTGCAGTAGGTCTGAGCTTCAGTCCAATTTAACAATTTATTAACAAAATAGTATTGAGGAAGGAGGCAGGTGGAGAGGACAACCCAGTCTGGAAGATAGATTTTAAAAATATCATTTTTCATCATTCAGTGATGCTTTCCCTAAAAGGTTTAAGTACCACCAGATTTAAATGCTGGCTAAGATTCTCAGTCATCCAGGTCATAGTCATTCCAAAAAAAGAAAAGTTTGGAAACAAAAACAAAGAGAAAAAGCGCATTATTTTGAGGGGCAGAATGTTCACATTTTTGACAGAGGTGGTTTGAGAGGGGCTTAAAGGAAGCCATCTATGTTAAGAAAGAAAAGATAACCTTAAACAGAGGGGGTGGACGCTCTCTAAAACCTACAATGCAGCAATTGAGTTAATCACTTCACACTACCATCGCAAACCCACCCCCGTACAGGAGAGTGGAGGCCCTTGACTTTTTAGCCAGGCCAGCAATTCCCTTTAATGACCCCCCCCCTACCCCTTTCAGAGACTTAGACAGGTATGGGGAATTGCAGTTTAACAAAAGAAGCCAAACGACCCCCATTCCAAAGGGGTGGACCCCTTTATCCGTTTCAATTTGTATGTTTTCAAAACCAAAACAAGGTTTTGATAGGCTACTGTATAAAGCCTCGAACTCAACGCTATTCCCAACATTTTGAATTGAAAAAGCTTCCTGGATGGGAAACAAAACGTCTTCAAACTTGGAAGCAAATTACAGTGGATTGTTTTTAATTTTCTTTTTTGGAATCACCAGATATAAACTCAAAGTCACTCACCTAGAAGAAACACGAGTCCCAGCAAGATCTTCTCCATCATGATGCTAAGCTGAGGACTGCAGTCGAAAGTGCTGATGCTATAATCAGTCTCTAAAAGGCTTTCTGTTTTATACAAGGGAAATTATCTATTCTCTTCAACATGCAAAGCTGGTTGCCATGACAACCTGTAGGAAAATGATGTCTATAAAACACTGAGCAGCTTTGCAAAGTCTGTAGGCTACACAAACAAGTATTTCTCCTTAAAAAGAAGTATTACAACGAATGACACATCCAGCTGCTAATGTTACACTGAACCCCTTCTTTTCCAGGTTAGTTCTTCAAAACATGTGGCAATAAAATGGACCGTCTGGTGTTTTGGTTTTGGTCATCAAATATTGTCAAAAATTATTTTTAGAGAAAAGTATTATTTTTTTATTTTTTTTCCATAACATAACAACATTTGGGTTCTTAGTTGATTTATTTATACTAATTTGCTCTAGTACAATACAAATTCAGTCTTTAAACAGCTTGCAGTAAATATTCTATACCAGGGATCAGAAGCTGTACATGGTTGTTAAAAATAAATATTATAATAAAGGATCAAGTAAATATGCTCAGGTTGCATATGGAATCTGCAATAGACTGTGAGGTAGTTATTCATTATTCTAAGAAAGGTGGACTTTTTTGAAAGAAGGCATTTGCATTGGAAACACTGAAGAGCTGAGTGAAAGCACACCTTTGTTATGAGAGGACACTAACATTTGCTTGCACATTGTGCCATTGTGTCACACGTTTTGCATCTAAAGCCTTAAGGCTTTTGTAAAATTTAAAAGCTTATTTGGTAGCCCCATATTCTGTCTTCATTACAGTTAAAGTTTCATTTGCAGGTCTACACTGAATAATGATAGAATCATAGAAAGAAATGTTTGAGAGACTTAATTTAAAGAAACAAGTATTTAACAAATGTGATGTCTTGTGTGCCAAATGGGAAAAAAAAATTAACTAACAGCTGCCATCATCTCATACATTTCACTCAGAGATGTTTTAACATATCATAGTGTCTTGCCACTATATAAAATTTCTCATAAACACGTGCACGTTCTCAGCCAATCAGGTTCTTAATAAACTTCTTAGGCTCCCTCCCCTTTTTCCTGTAACTGGAGACACAATCTGATGATGATAGATTGACCTATTCCCCATGGATTGTCTTCAGTGCATGAGTACAAGAATGATTTTATTTATTCGGAATACATGACTTTTGGCAGAAGTAGTTCCTTTATTAACAGATGCCAGATGTTTATTTTTAAGCTAAGCAAAATAAATCACCAGCAACAAAACTGCAAACTTTATAACACTATAGTAGTATCTTGTCAGCAGCTCAACCAAGTAGCAAAAAAAAAAAAATAATAACATTGATTGGAGAAGATGCCTCATTCCTGTGCAGAATAGAATAGCATACCATAGAAAATCCCTTTATTGTCCCACAATGGGGAAATTCTTGGGTTTACAGAAGCAAAATATTATAGAAAAAATGGTCACACAAATGTGGACCTTGGAAAAATATCTAAGAATAACATAACTTTTAAAAGTTAAGAGATAAACAATAAAATACAGTAGTATAAAGTGTTTTAATAATATGAATACTGTGCACCTGGAGAATAAATAACCAATATCCAGATATGGACGTTTTTACAGTAATGGATATTTGAAAATAGCAGCAACATCAGAGATGTACAAAATGACAGCAGCATGTAATTTAACTCGCTAAGGTAGAAACTTACAAAATCAGCATGAATGTAAAAACTTATTAAGGTTTTTAGAAACACTGGTGGTCATAAAGTCTTGCAGCTGCTGGGAGGAAGGATCTGTGATAATTATCCCTGGTGCATTTAGGGTGCAGCAGTCTGTCACTGAAGGAGCTCTCCAGCTCTGCAACAGCTTCACGCATGGGGAGGGAGACAGAGATGTTTATTTAGTTAGGATCTGTTTTTTTCCCACCTGCACTGAGTCCAATCACAGAGCTGGCATTCCTGATCCGCTGATCCAGCCACTTTCTCTCAGCTTCAGATAAGCCACTGCTCCACCAGAAAACTCAATAGAAGCTGATGCCAAGTCATAGAAGGTCTTAAGGAGCGCCCCCTGCACTCCAAAAAGACCTCCCTTTCCTTAGCAGGAAGAGTCTCCTCTCACCTTACTTATACAGAGCCTCAGTGTTGTCTAGTCTAGTCTAGTTTGTCATTTAGATGAACACCAAGGTGCTAAGAAGAGTCCACTTTCTCAATGTCCGTTCCCTGGATGTTTACTGGTGTCACTGGGGTGGAATCCCCCACTAGCTCCTTGGTTTTGTCTGATTCTAAGTTATAACATTTTGACTGCCAAGTAAAACATGGTAACTTGTTATGCTAGATGAAAATACACTGTAAGTCAAACACTAGTTAAGAAGTTTATGTTTTCTAAGTGTCTTCAACAAACGTGTTGTTTTAAACAAAACCTATAACGGTGTAGCAAATAAAAAGGCTGACTTTAACAGGGTTGGATAAATGATAACAGTTAATCGAGTTAGATTTTAGTTTAGTTCTTTGAACAAACAAGAGCAAAGGAAACAAAACACTAGATATGTAATTTGTAAGAATGGGGTTTAAACTACATCACAATTAAACTGATATGTTTGACGAATTTAAAATTCCTGGGATTGAATCCGGCGGGTCTGGAACAAACTTTTGGCCTTTTGAGCAGAGAAAGGCCCACCTGGTACTGATGAAAGGACGGTAAATAACATAAACCTAGAGATCTGGACAGAGAAGAATGGAAGTAAAACATGATACTTGGTGAATGAGTAATGAATGAGTAAATGTTTATTTGTCTGAATGGGACTTAAGGATATTTCTAACAAACATTTAAGTGTGCTCATCTCATCATCCATCTCTCTGTGCTTTTTATTCAACCTCTATACCGTATCTCTCTCTAAAATGCTGCTCTACTGGGGAGTGTGGATAAGCCTGGTTAGGCATACATGCAGTGAAATAAAATTATTGAGGTAATAAAGGGCTCCTAGACAACAAGATGACGAAAAATGGCTACTTAATACATATACATTATGAAGTATATCATTTGTCCCGAAAGATATCTTCACAGGAAAGAATCGGAAAGAGAAAGTTTCTGTTGTATCCTAGGTGCTGGATTCAGAATCCAGACAACCAAGCCTGGAGATAGGAGCAAATGACAGTTTATTTGATTCTCAGATGAACAAGGAAAGTTGTTAGCTTCTCCTGAAGCAGGGAAGGTTAAGAAGGAAGCCAAGCTTACTGGAGCAGCAGCTGGAGATGATGGAGTTGGGTGGTGTGGCTTGGTAGCAGGATACCGGAGTGGAGTTTGATCCTAGTGATTATGTGATGAGATGAGCCGAGGATTCAAGGCATGTGTCGAGTAATGGAGGGGGTGTTTACCCAAAGCAAGTGTCTGGGGTTTATTCATTTAGGGGAGGGGCCAAAATTGATGATGTGTGAAGCCTTACTACCGTGACACCATACGACCGCTTCAGAAAGTGGTTCAGAAAGCGCAAGAACCCTACAGGCATTTAAAGAGCCTCAGTACACAGTCAAGATGTAAGAGTTTGTGGGAGAGCTGCTGTCAGTTGTATAGACTTTGGATAGATTCTAAGAATAAATTGGTCAGAAAAACATCTTGTTGGTTAAAACTATTTTAGGTAAACTAAACAATGTAATAATCAAAATCGGAGCAAACCACTGGTTACAGTTGTAACTTTAGTGTTAAGTACTGTTGCTGTCTCTTGCACATTATCAATGTTGGTGGCATCAGCTGTAAGGCATTGACTTTCACCCCTGAGATAAATGGTTTGAGACCCACCTTAGACTTTTAAGTATTTTGGCAAATGTGACTAATTTGTATTGGTTTGCCCTTGTAAAAATATAGATTGGGTAAAAACACTGCCAAATTAGATTGGCTGGTTTAGGCGAAAGATTTTTTGAACACATAACCTCCAACACGATTAAAACCAAAAACCATGAAACACATTTCCTTTTGCTCACCATTGCCTAATTTTCACAAGCACTTTCACTGTCTGCTTGAGCTTATTTCACCAAAATGTGTACTTAAAACTGTACTGTGTAAAACTGTGTAAAATGATTGTTCTCTTCTAAGACATTTTACAAACAAACAAAAAAACACTTACAAATGATCTTTCTATACACGGCAATCATTAACAATATCAAAGGAACTTAAATGGGAAAAACAAAATGCAAAAAATCACAGATTTTATTACAAACTGTAGTTATGTACTCCACCAGTAGGTGGGAACATGTTCACATGAAGCTTCATGAACTATGGGGATTGTTGAAGCAATTTGGCAAAACAGTTCAAATGCCTCATGAGGCTTCATCTCACCAGCACTACATCCCAGGTAAACAGAGCACAGGCTAGGTCGCTGTAAAAAAATCCCCCAAAAGAGATTATTTCCACAAAAGATGTTTTATCACATCTACAAACTAAATGGTGACCATCAGCAGTGTTGTGCCTGAACGCGTTCATTGAACGTAAGTTCATGAACTCGTTCATATTTTGGGCGAACTGAACGTACTGCATTACTACCTGATGAACATTATTGTGAACTCGTTCATTCTGGTGTCTGTGAACGGCACGCTCTCTCAGTTTAACTCCGTTCAATAGGTTGCCAAATTTCTATAGAGCCCTCCAGGCGAAACCCCGGCTAAATCACACCGTAAACAGGCCTTAATATGTAGAGGGAAAAACACCCAATCTGGCAACACCAGCTACCAGTGTCGTAGCCTACAGCCGCGTGCGTCATCAAATTAAAATGCAGCGTGGAAGCCACAGCAGCATGGAGACGACCGTGGAGGCGACATAGC